ATGTTTTTCAGTCTTTTGATATAGTATCAAAGTCAGTCTGTATTGTTAATTAAGTATCTGCATGTTCAGTGTGAGATGGAAATAATGTTCTTGTTTCCTAATAAATGGAATTACAGTCTAAACTTTGAATACTTTCTTTTTGTGTCTCTTTTATAGTTAAGCAAAACTGGTTCTAAAGATGATGAATAAAGGACTTTGGTACAAGGAAGCTCCACCTTTTAATACAGTGCAGTTCTGGCTCACCATCTCTCTCTTAATAACTTTCATATTTGTTGAAGTAAACATTTTATAAAGCTTGATTTCCTAACTTGTAAATCTAGTCACACAAGCTTATCTAGAGACCATGTGGTCATCTTCAGAAAAATCAACCAACAAACTTGCCTTAAATGAAGGTTAGAATGTGACAAAGGATATAGAGAGCCAGTGTGATGAATAGTCCTGAAGTGTTTATTAATTTATATTTAGTCTGTAGTAAAATCCTGTTATAGTGAACCCAATGATACTGTAAACATTTCTTGATGTTCTTATTCCAATTGAAGAAAAAAGCACTATAACAGTGATGGTGGCTTGATAGTTTAATTCATCAAAATAAATTGTTCCATGGAAGTAAGAACTTTGTCATTTGTTTATCTAGTATGAACCAGAAGGAGAACATACAATTTGCTGCATTGCAAAACAGGCTAGAGCTTATGTTCTCATTTTCACTAGTTGCTGGCTGAAATACTAAATACTAGTGAAAGCAAGGCCAAATATTCCAGTCTGCTCAAAAATGAATGGTTATAGCAGGAGTGCAGCTTCTTTATTCTCCACAATATCTGATCTGTTGGTCTTTCTCCAGTGTCCATATTTACAGACAGTGGGATGTCTGAGGGGGGGCAAAAGTGCTTTCTTGCACATGTCTCAATGACTGTTGGGATTTTGTAGCTGTTTCATTGGAGAAATAGGCATTCTTTGGAGGGATTTGCTGACTAAGTGGTGGGACAGTGGAAATCAGTAATCCATCAAACATTTTGGGAGAACTTCTTTGTGAGACTTTTTTTTTCCTTATCTGCTCTCTTGTATAGGGAGAAGTCATCTTTACTGTATGAACTGTTATTGAATACAAGATGCCTTAATGTATTTTATTATTTTTGTTTGTTTTGAGATGAACTTTAATAAATGCCTATTTATCTGCTGTGGTATGTGTTTATTGTTTTAAATTCTGTATTGCCTACTGCACTTTTCACTTTGCAAAATTGAACTGGAAAAGACTGTTACAAAGAAAGAGTTCTTAAAAATTGCTGGAAGAATTCTATCTTCCCTCTTGTGGTATATATTTACATGATCTTCAGGGTGGCTGTGTTTGTTATTGATAGGAGGATCAGTCACCTTACCAGGAGCACAGGGCAGTATCCATTGTGTTCAGTACACACAGAGCAAGTCCAGTGTCCCTTTGGAAGAGTGTGCTCCACTGTGTACAGCATCCATCATTTCAAAAAGTCTGGTTTCTTTTTGAACTCTACTCTCAGGTAGTAAAATGTTGTGAAGTACAGAAAGGAGGACTTTTCTGAGCAATGCAGCCTTGCCTTTGACATAAACTGGAGGTTCGTGGCTGCAGTCTGAGCAAAAGCACCAGGCACAAAGTGCCAGTGCCAGGAGAAGTTGCTGTGGCAGTACACGGTGAACCTGTAGCAGGGAAGGGCATTTAGTTTTAGTCTCTGCCAGCACCAGGATAGGCAGGACTCTATTCATGAGTTCTCCAAGGGGAATTGACATGTATCATTGGTGTATAAATCAAGTTGCTATGACAATTTATCTGAATAGATTAGTTATGAGAGGGTGTGGGAGGGACAAATAAGAATGGCATCTCTTGCCTTCCATAGTGCTACTGTGTGTAACTTGGTAATCTTGTGAAATGCATGCTTTTTCAGATCCTAGTCTGCCTGTAAAGCCCATGCATTCGTGAAGATAACTGAGTTTTCTCTGGTTCTGTTAGTAAATGTAATTACTTTGAAGTCTAATTTCACAGGAAATATTTTGCATTGGAAATTTTTAGACCCATTTTTTGCTTCTGTGTAAATTGTGAAAGGTGATTTGTGTCGTTCAGACCATTTTCTGATATGATGTGATGGCTGGAACAGGATAATTTAAAGAATCTGGGTACTTCATATTATGGAGAGGCCTGAGCAGTGATAAATGAGAGTAAGGAAAAATCTAATGATTCTTATTAAGCCAGGCACAATTGTAAATAAGAGATCATGACTCCTGAAGGAATTCTAAACACTGTTGAAAAATCTACTGCCACTCTTTATTTTTTATTTTTTTTTTTTTTAATGAAGACCTAATGGCAGTGGAAAATCAGTGATTACTCATCAGGACGAGAGTCTCTTGATTATATGACTACACCCTCTATTTAAATTAATGAGTTTTGCAGTAGATCTTTGGCCTGAGAAGACAAGTGTCAATACTAGCAACAGTAAATAAAAGGTAGTAAATGTCTAGTATGCTGTGGGTACCATGACCAGAGATGCCCCATTGCACTCTAATGTACCAGATTGCAGGGAGTAATGCAGACTGCCTTTAAGTATGTTGAATAGAGAGGTGATTACTCAGCAGTGTGTGCCTAGCATATCCTGCACACCCCCTTGGTCAGTCTGACACAGGTACACTGAAATCAAGGCTGATAATTTCTGCAGTCCTGTTCTGACTGGTTGTATGTGGCGTGGATAGATAAAGAGTGCCCAACTGATGAGTAAAAGACCAGTAGGTAAAAAGCCAGCATTTCTCCACAGAGGACCTGTGGCAAAAGTGCAAATCTAAGGATACTGTCCTCTTCTCATCTGAGGCAATACAAATGATTTTGGGTTATACTGTGAAATTTGTGCTATGAAAATCCTTTAGCTGGTCTGAACCTGAAATAATTTCCTTTAGGAAATTGTTTTCTTCAACAATATGGCACACTTAAGCTCTTGCAGTTAACAGCAGAATGAAGTGAGGAGGAGATGTTAATTCAAGAGAGAGAATACCAGAAGTGTGAGAATTCTGGGTGGATTGGAGAAGGAACTGGATGGGGGAAAACATCCTTGTAAGGAAAACTAGAAGAGCATAGGGGATAAATCTTCACTGCTGCAGGACAATACAACAAAACAAAAGCTAAATTCTGGCACGAGTTTGGAATATGGTAAAGGACAAGAGGATTGTAGATGTTTTTCTGTTGCTCTGGTTTCTTTCACCAACATGGATTTGGCTTCATCTCAGAATGGGTCTGTTCTTGTGTCTGTGAGAAGAATTTCTGTTTGCCTGACTGTTACGTTTCCTGTTACTCTCTTTCTGAGCCCATGTAAGGAGCCTATGAAAGCTTGGTGTACTCTCAGAAATAACTTAAGACAAAGCATATTGACTAGGCACTGGAAAACCACTAACTGTTTGTCCTACCTCTCCTTCATTCAGAGCAAAGTGAGGAGTGACTCCAAATGTCTTAATTACACAAAACATGAAAATCTACATCCAGGCCCTGATGTCCCGTCAGACTGAGAATGTTACATAGCTGTCCCTTGCTACTGTGTCTGAGCATTCATGCCTGTGGTTCCTACGGATGTTGTGTTTGAAGTATCCGTGTTAAAAATAGGGCAGAAATTTGAAAACTCTTGTTGTGGTTAGCTACTACAAGTTCTTTATGTTGTGAGATGGGATAAGGTCATAGTGACAGGGGAAGCCAAGCTGTAACTACAGAGCTTTACTGGAGAGGAGTGAGGGTGTGTGGGTGTCTCTGAGGGCAGAGTTGCTTCTGCAGTGTCTGCTAATGGTCAGAAAGGGAAAATTAGCCTGCTCTGAGTTTGGAAGATACCGTTCAAGAAGTGATACAGAAGGAAGAAAGAAATCTTTTTCTCAAACAATCACCTGCTATAATGTCATTGAAAGACAATAAACACAGCCTTGACTGAATTTGCTCTTCAGAGCAGAATATTTAAATCAAGTATCTCTGTCAGTAATGCATTTTTTGATTTCCTGCAGGTAAAACAAATGTGAATAAAGCATTGTTATGTGAAGAGCTGCTGTTCCACTGTAGAGAACCATTTGTTCTCTACCTATAGTGAAAATGATGCTTCAATTGGCCTTGAAGACACAGATTTTAAATAGCTCAGGGAGAAGGCTGCAGCCCATCAATAAAACATAGACAGCCTCTGTAGATGGTTAACAAATTTTTCCAGCATTATCAGTTTTATATTTTTCTGTGAACATCAGCACTTGAGTATTACCAGGTTTTAGTGAACGGGTATATTGCATAATTATGATTTTCCTTTCCCCTCCTCATGCCATATGTGTTTAGATGATAAAAGTACAGGATGTCATATAGAAATTTATTTCCAAAATTAAAATAGTGCTAAAGGAAAGGAGATAATCCTGCTCAGCAGTAAGGATGTGCCAAAATTAAAGCTGGCTATGTGATGTTTATATAAAAAAGAAGATTTTCTTTCTGTGACTGTGTGGTTTTTTTGGGTTTGTTTGTGGGTTGTTTTTTTCCCCCAGTAGAGTCCAAACAGATGGTTGGTGCTTTCCTTCCTAGTGTTCCTGTTGGTGGGAAAGTAATACAAAACCTGAGTTTTAGTTCTCTCCTAAGGCTGAAAACAGAAAAAAGTTTTCACTTAGTGAAAGCAAGTAAAATAACAGAGCTGTCCCTGAAACAAAGTGGACCTTTGAATAGGATGACCAGGTGTTGGAGCAAATTAATTTGCTTTAATAAAATATACTGGATCCGAGTGGTTTAGTCTGCTTCAGAGTCTATCTTCACGTTGTGGATTTGTGCCTTATAAATGCTTATGAATTATTTTATCTTTTACACAGAAAGGTGCATTGGGTGGGGGAGCAAGAAAATAGAAACTACTGTGTGGTATTTATGCCTCACATCTGAAATGAGTTAAGATAAATCGGTGTCATGTCACATATAATATAATGCACAAGGTACAATGTGTCACTCCTGTTTTATTTTCTTGTGTTTTGAATGTATGTAATTGAGACCTCTACTACAATCTCTGGACAAAATTTGGCAGAATCTCCTTGTGATCATCACAATGATTTTTGTTTCACAGACACAAGCTCTACTCTGTTAGATGCTGTACTGATGAACACAGAGGAAGAAGGGCATGTCATTGTCTTGCAAGTTCAGGAAATGAGAAAAATTCTATGAGGAGACACATGCTAAATAGGAAAAGCAAATACTCAGCTTCTTTGGACATCTGTTTAGGGAGAAAAGATGACAGTAGAAGTGAAGAGTAGAAGAAGGAGGAAGGATCTTGAATTTGGAGCCTTAAGAACATGGTTGGTTAGTCTTCTAAAAATTACAGATGATAAACATATGTTGTTTCTCTGTATGTTAAAATATCTCTTAAGGTATTTTTAAAAGATGGTAAAATATTTTTTAAAGTGTTACTAGTAAACCCTTGAGGAGAGGAAAGAATGTCACCAGAAAAAATTATACACAGGAAAAAAATCTAGAAATTTTGATTTGAAGCTGTGGGATTCTTTTATATCAAGCAAATGCAATTTCTGTTATGTGAAGAAGTGGAGACAACTCTAAAATCTCACTTCCTCTTTTCTGCAGGATTCTGAGTAGTTTAATATTTCAAGTGTTGTAAGCTCAGAATTTTATCTGCTGGAAGGAAGGGGAGTGCATAAAATTTGGATTTAGTTGTACATTTTGCAGATTTAAATGCAGCTCATCAGTATTTAAATCTCCAGTTAAATGTGTGTCTTGTAAGCAGAATGGTTAAAATGTGATTTGCTATGCATGTATGTACACAATCTTGGTGAGATACATAATTACATCATATCACTTCAGGTATCAATGTACAAAGATTATCTGTAAGAGTATCTGTCTTATTTGAGAAATATTTATCCTGTGACTCGATCAAAGCTTATGCCATCAAACACAGCAAAATAATCAAAACTGCAATGATTTTTTTTTTAAAGTTACAACAGCCTGATCTTACTAGGCTTATTTGTGCTAGAATCAGAGGCAGAAAGAAATGCATTAATGGAAGAATGTTTTCCTCAATTACACAATTACTGTAAAGAAAGAGGTTGTAACTCCAGCTGATGGACCTGAGGTGGGAGCTTCCAAGTGGTGCCAGAAATTATCACCATCATGTTTCACTTCCTCTGGAAATTTTGAGGAAGTATCAGAGATGAGATATC